CCGAAGGTCTAAAATATACTGAATAAGACCATTATGAGTTTAGTTATGCGATATTATAAGCCCGTCTGCATGAAATACGACTTCAATTGCTTTCAATCGAGTTCTTACATTTCCATGATTCTAAAACATATTGTGGAAGTGAGAGTTTTAAGGATTTTGGACGCGAGTCATTGGAAAAAATATTGTTTCGTTCCCGAAGTATTTAGATATTTATCAGAACGCTGTCGGCAAAAATCACATCTTTTGAGGTCTTTAGGATAGACATTTTCCAGCGAAAATCCATTGTCTTAACATAAAATTCTTAGCGTTTACATATCTTAACTTAATTTAATTATTGTAAAAATGAGTACGAATGAGGGAACCATGGATAAGTTCATCAGTGCCACGAAGAACGAAGAAAACTGATCACTTTTTGGTATCATGTAAATTTAAATATTGCACGAATAAATTATTTTTCACAACGGATTTTTCTTCTATAGAGGAATCTCATTGATCGCATTATTGTGGGAAAAAGTTCGACTCTTTGAATAGTTCGTATCGCTCAGTTGACCTTCCCCAAAATCATGATGTTGATCAAAATCATGATTTCGGCAGGAGCCAATATCACGAAATACCTAATCAATACAAGTCGGGTTGGTGATTTTGAAGTTAACATTGAATACTAAAAAGTTGTACAAGAATTGGCGCAGAATCTCCTACAACGAATTTGGGAGACTTATTAAAAGGTAATCCAAAGTGGTTCATTATCCACAGAAAATATACTCGAATTCATTAAGAAATTAATAGAAAAGTTGCATCAAATTAAATAAATTCTATTCAGCAGAAATCGGTATATGTCTCTTTAACGATTCCCAGAAAAATTATGTTGAAAATAAAAGAAGTTTTTTGAGAAAATCCCGCAGGCGGTTGCTACAGTCATTTCGATGGAGACTGTTCGTCAACAGCCCCTAAGGGTACGACGTTTTTTTTGACGAAAAAATTGTCATACTAAGAGAGTCTTCGATGAAATTCGATACAAAGTATCCTACTGATTTAAACTATTATCGGCGCCAGAAGTCAGTGCACTCGGATGTTTTTTGAATAACTTTCGATAGGAACAAGTTAGAGACCTGCGGTTTTCAACATTTGATAGGCAAGACCCAGGAGCATATTTCCTTAAGCAAACTCTTTTCTGAAATAAAAGTTCCTAAACCGGTTTTCAGAGAATCTCTGAAAAACCACGATGGATTTCTGAAAACTACCATAGGAGTTTATTGACATTTTTACATGAGTAGATAGCCCAGAGTGTCCCCTACAAAACTAGATCTAAATAAAAATTCTATCTCGCAAAGTTTCGGCAAACCAGCCAGTTTTTCCGAAGCCCTACCATTCCCTTTTCTTTAGGTGTAGCACTATTGTAAACACATGAAACCATAGGTTATCGACTATGCTGAACATTGTGGGGACGTTTTGTCTTGTGCTTACAAGAACACTTTTTATTAATCATATACGTGCATTATCAATATATAGTGTTTCCATATGAAAAAAATGCTCTCATGACAATTTATGTACTCTTTTCGTGTGAATTCAACGAAGCATATGAAGAAAAATAATTTTTCTGCGTGAAAGAGAGAATGAAATATCTGGCGTGGTCTCTGGTTATTGGTAATTGCAACCAGATGCTGGTGAGGATTGTTCTTTATAGGTCGTATTATTATTTATCGGTTTAATTACAAGATTTTTTCTTGGTTGCGACGCAGTGTCAAGTAACTCGGGGTTCTCCCTTATCACTGTTACATGTATTGAACCTTTCTGATATTGTTTGTTTTTTTCTTTTTATTCACTTGATATGTTCTTCTCTTTTTCTCTGTGGTATATTCCTTTTGATTGATGGGCTATTGCAACCACTTCCTATATATGTGTATGTGATCGTTTCTGTCCTTGTTCAGTAGTAGTTAGTTGTTCTTATACATCGCTCTATTTTCTTTATCTGCTGGTCATCGCTCTTGACTTGTTATTTTTTCCTGTTTTTCATATATTCAAGAAAATCGAGATATATCATATTTCTTTTCGTTCTAACTTGAATCACAACACGTGGTATTATTTGGTAATGCCGAAAGAATTTTCGTTAGAATTTAAGCAATTGGCATTTTCTATTATTGATTTTATTGAAAAAGAAAAGAATGGTCCATCAATACCTCTTAATAATGTTACAGACCGTCTTGTAGCAATACTTGGCATTTCAAGAAGATCAGTTTTTGTGTTAAAAAGTGAAATGAAACAATTGAAGGAAGACCAAGAAGAGTTTGTTAGATTTACTCGTTCGTCAAGTACCTCGTTATCACCAACGCCATTATCACCAGCCAAACGCTCAGGTCGTCCAAAAGCACAATTAACAAATTTTGAAAAAGATACAATTAGATTAACATTTCATCTATTATTGAAAGATAAAATGTATCCTACTGTTGAAAATTTATTATCAACTTTGTTAAGTCAATATCCTGAATTTCCAATATAGTCAATAACATCATTACGTCGAGAAATGAAGGCACTTGGTTTCAAATATAGAAAGACAAATAAAGCAAAAATTTTGATGGATTCGGTAGCCTTTCAAGCTCAACGTGCTGCATATTTTAGAAAAATTGATCAACTACGATTGAATAATTCTATATTATACTATCATGATGAAACGTGGCTAAGTAGAAATGAAGAAAAAGCAGTTGTATGGTTTGATGATCAAGGATATGGTCGTCTTCGAAATAGTCAAGGAAAAGGTGAAGATTAAGGTTTTATCACCATTATCCTGTTAAAATAAATTTCTGTTTCGATTTTTATAGGTCAACGTTTAGCAATCAGTGCTCTTCTTAGTCAAAACGGTTTTCATCTTCGTTCCTTAGATATTTTCAAGTGTGACGAAGTACATAGTATGGACAGTAATCATTTTGTCACATGGATGGACAGTGCAGCTAGTACTTTACGATCTGAACATGGCAAAACGACTAAAATTGCTATCATTATAGATAATGCCAAATGGCATAATAAGCTTACTCCAGAATCTGAACCACCTAAACGTTCATGGAAAAAACAATTAATTGCTGATTGGCTAACTACTCGAAAAATTAAGTATGAACTCTATATGACAAAGGCCGAGTTAATACAATTAGCATTTGCTCATTTACCTCCAAAAGAATTTTTAGTTGATAAAGTAGCAAGTAAATATAATATTGAAATTGTTAGAATACCAGTGAAGCACTGCGTCTTGAATCCAATTGAACTTGGTTGGTCCGGTTTAAAAAATTATGTTCGACGACAGAATGTACATTTTAGTTTGAACGATGTTGAACAACTTTGTAATGAATGGTTAGCAGCATGTACTCCTGAACATGCTTCTGGTTATTTTGCACATGTCTATAAACAAGAAGAAATATTTAAAACTGCAGACAAATATGTTGAAGAGATAGAAGATGATCTGATCGATAGTGAAGATGATGCTGACCATGATACATCAAATGATGATGACGATGTTGATGATTAAACTGGTTTTTTCAAGTAGAAAATTATTTTTCTTCATATGCTTCGTTGAATTCACACGAAAAGAGTACATAAATTGTCATGAGAGCATTTTTTTCATATGGAAACACTATATATTGATAATGCACGTATATGATTAAT